TAATGTGCCACAAACAGGACTTTAATATCACCAACCATTCCCATGTTATTACGGTGTATCCATATAAATGGCCCACCCTCTATATATATCTCTCTATATATCTATATATCTACAAATATATATCTATATCTATCTGTCTCTGCATAAATACTTCAGGTTCCTGGATGGATTGTCAGACTTTGGGACCCCGCTGGATTCTGAAAGGTGTTTGTTGACACGATGAACAAACAAGAAGAATAAATGAATCCAAAAAGATAAATTAGTTCTCTGCCAAGTCGAGAGCTCAGGCAGAGGGCTAATTAATGTGTTCAGTGTCTTTTTGTTTTTCTGTCTGCAAGATTACACAAAAACTAACAAGGCTCGATCTCCTTGATGGAGGGGTGGAACGTGGGCAAAACAAGAAGCCATTAAATCTTTGGTGCAAATGCAGTTTACACATTAAAACTGCAAGAAAGGAGAATGGCCTTGGCAGAGGGTTTTGCTTTCACAGTGTCCCTTCTAGCTTCATTAAAACGATTTCCTACATCTGCACCATTTTACACACTACTTTTGTGCAAATGTTCTTACCTCAACCACAAACTATGCTCTATATTCATGCTGATACAGGAGACACGATCAGTTTAGTGTTAACTGTTTAATCATTAATGTATCCAGTGCTCACGGTTGTGTAGACTTTACTTTGAAATGAGAAAGTTCTAATTAAGTAACCACAGCACACAGATTCATTAGAACCAGGTCGGCATCCAAATTAGCAGAAAAAACAAAAACAAGGTGCTAAAGTCCCAATAATGTCAGGAGAAGATAATGATGCAGAATAAGAAACCGAAAAGGAGACAAGGGAGAAGGGATGCAGTCTGAAGAAATGAACATGAAGAGGGCAACAACACACACGATGACTGCTGCTGAGGAATAATTATATGTGGAGCTCACACACTGTATGTACATGACAAACACTGCTGAGCTAGCTGTTCCAGGACAACTGTTATACAACATACACACATGATTCTGCTTAAGTTGAAGTGAAAATGTTTTTCAGGAAGTAGTCTATTTAAAAAAAAAAAGAAAAAAAAAAAAGATTAATCTTAGCCACTCTTCTCTTCCAGATGTTCTCGGGCATGTGTGGACAACTTTGAGTGCTGCTTTGGCGATCACTGAGTGGAAGCACCGTTCAGTCCCTTTGTACTTGTGGCTCTGTTAATAAACTGGATCCTCCTCCAGGCTGTCAAACCTGTGAATGTTTTCAATTTGAGGAAGCAGATGAGGAGTCAGGGAGGCGAATACAGTGAATACAGCTCAGGTCATTTCAGCCATCAGATCGAACTCGAGCAGATGTTCTCACCCCGGGGAACAAATTCAGGTTACAGACTCCGTTGAATGCCAAAGAAAACAAGAATTCTCCTGCCTCCATTACTGACCTCATGTGCCGCCTTAATGGCTTGGACACCAAACTGACTGGAAACTGCCACAGCTGCAGAGCAAGCTCTCATCACCAGCAGACGCCTAACACACGAGGTGGTCAGTCTGAAGCAGGAGTTAAAGTTTCCTCTTTGAGCTTTAAATGCTGGCGATGAAACTGCAAAGCGCAGAAGTTCAGCTGGGAAGGGAACCAGTTAGAAATCTAAAAATAGCAGATTCACTGAACAAAGAGGCCCTGAACAGGACATCACCACTTTTAAACCAAGTATCATTTTGCTTTTTCAACTCACTGCACTCATTCACATGACCAGTACCTATGAAATGATGATACTGTGCTAGTTATAAACACATCAGCATGATTTCATACTGATAAATAATGCTCAAACCATGAAACTCCTAAATCCTAAATACAGAGTGACAGCGGCTGGAGTGCAGAGAACATGGTTACTGTGTTTTCATCACCTGACAGAGGGAGATCAGGCTGTTCTGTTACTCTGAAAGCTAAGAATGTCTGATATAAACAGGCAGAAAGAAACAGGATTACTTACGATTCCCTTGTTGCTGTAACTGCATACTGATTTTGTTTCTCCAATGTTTGAGTAAATCCAAAAACAGTTTACAATCCAATCAATCTCACCTCAGGGTCTGCTTACTCAAAGCCCAACTCTGAGCAAAGGCTGGCACTACAAGCAGTTTTCTAGTCTTAGGGACTACTCAAAGCGCCACACACTACAAGCTATATTCACCCTTTAACCCATATTCATACAACCCATTATTTTACACCCTTAGTCGCTTCATCCATGTTGCATCCACACATGGACAGTGGGAGAAAGACTGAGTCCTTGGAGAAAATGTAGACATGCACAAGACCTAGAACAACATGAGAGTAGGGCTGCCACAAACGATTATTTTGATAGTCGACTAGTCACCGATTAATTTTGCGATTAGTCGACTAATCAGATCATCAT